AAGAAGCACAGAAACGTGAATGCCTACAAATTGCCGTTTGCCAATAGTCCAAACTGACGATGGCGCAGGTCGAGATTTCACAAAGTGCCAAGATGTGGTAAGAAATGTCTACGGAAAAACATTGTCCTTCGTCTCTTTCGCCATGCGGGAATTGGTTTTCCAAGCCGTCCATGAGTTAGCACATCCAGGTCTACGTGCGCCCAGGAAACTAATCACAGGCTGCCTTGTCTGGCCAGGAATGCAAGCAGACATCGGAAACTGAACTAAAGCATATCCAGTCTGTCAAAAGAACAAGTTACATAGATACATTATGGTTCATATTAGCAGTTACAAGCCAAGTTCAGTAAAATTCAATCGCATCCGCATGGGCATTGTGGATCTGCTTTCACCTCCTAAGGAAAACCGCGATCTGCTCACCATTATAAGCCACTTTACACGATGGCCAGAAGCCATTCCAATACCAGACATACAGGCAGTTATAGATGCGAGAACCTTTGTTACTCACTGGGTTTCAAGGTTTGGCACACTGACAACTATCGCAACTTACAGAGGCAGGCAGTTTGAATAAGATATTTTTGCCCAGCTATCAAATTTATTAGGAGCAAAAAGGATTCACATGTGCGCCTACCACCCGCAAGCTAACAGTTTGGTAGAACGCTTCCACCGTCAGCTAAAAGTCTGTCTAAGAGACCAACTACATGCAAGTCGGAAGTGCCAAAGGACCTTAAAACTTGCAAATACATCTACGCTAGAGACGACCGAATATTGCCATCACTATCCGCATCATACAGCGGTCCCTTTCGCATCATCTCCAGAGACGATAAACTCTTTACTTTATTAATAAAAGGCCATCTTAAAATGGTAAGCACAGAGAGACTAAAGGCTACACAAATTTACAAATCGGAAAACATCTCATTCAAAAAGAGCAAACCAAACAAATTAATATAGAGGAGAACAAGAACACGGTCTATAGATCCTATGCAACTCAGAAAAGGATTAATTTCACATTGGGAACCTGATTAAACTCTTATTTAGCTATATTTTTTCTCTTTCGGATCTATCCTGTTAGGATTAGCCTCTGGGTGGTAATATTGTTGTGATTTTTACTGCACAATCAGTTTGTCTACATCTGACAATTATCTCGAGACCCATGCAAAACCAATCGGAGTATGACTCATCGTTACTGTGTCCCACGGAGACTAGGCGAACATAGTCACCACACCGAGCCTCTCCTTTGAACCAATTAGAACGCTGCATTAAAAGTACATGAGAGTATTTTAAGTCAGAAACTACCTGGACTAAAAATCTTTGACCCATCGCTCCTCTTGCACCAACACCACACTCCACTATCGTCAGAGTTTTTTCTGCATCGATACCCTCGTCTATAACTTTCCTTCCTATACACAAGGCGCTTCGTTACTCGTTTTCTTGTTCCTCTATACAAGGCTGAGGTATTCTTTACTGTAGTGCATGGTCGGGCCCATATTTATAGTGAATATTTTAGATTTACTAAAATCTATCCATAGACATATATGTTGGCTCCCAAGGAAATCAGCTTATCGATTCTCGCGAATTGGATTCGAAAATTTGGCCAGACTTAATTGAATGATATCAAATGTAGGGGCATTTGCGATACTTCTTCAAGGAAGGCAAACGCTAAGTTTATTAGTCAACATATAACAACTCGAAACAGCCTGATTAAATTTTAGGTATTTTATTCCCTTTAATTAGGTTCTTCCCGTAGTCTGTATCGTCCGTGAGAGGCGCCATCGTTTGCATACAGTTAGAACTTATCAAACTGACAAGGGAATGCAATCCCCCGACCAATTTTCTGTTCAACCTTTGTGGCATCCCTCCTAACTCCTTTTCTTCCAATATCGTCTAAGAGTGTGTCGTTACAAGTGTATTTAGTGAAGCATAATCACCCGCCATAATAGTTTCAAGCTGGGATCATTAGAATACCGAAAGCGATGTTATGAAATGCTCCAGGGAATCCACACATCATATTAAAACAGCGAAAGAACCTAAAATTAACTAAAAATAAAGACAATTCTCTCGCCTTCTGAATATGCAAATAGTGGTTATTAGGACTAAAAAGTCATCAATATGTGTATAATAAGAGCAATGTTTTAATGTTTTAAACAATAGAAACAAAATTACGCTCGTTGTACTCATTTTTATTAGTGGGTTTTTTCAATGCATAAATGGCAAAATCTAGTTTACTAGGTAAACTTTTCGAGAGCTTTGCGATGGATTTTTGCAAGTTGCTTTCTCGTTTTTAAACAAAATTAAAAAGAAAATATTAATTTATAACTAGTATTTCTCTGCAATCAGGTAAAAATTGACTTTTTTCTTTTGTCTTCACTTTCACAATTTGGTTTGTGTTAAAGAAAATCTTTGGAGAACATACCCAGTACTGCATCTTTTTCCAAAGTATTCATCATAGTTTTCAGCATCGGACCGTTGACTTGGTGCATTCCCAGAGTTTTCTCGAGTAACATATTAGGCATTCTCAATGTGAATTGCCGACTTTAGCATCAATTTACAGCTCGTCGAAATAAAAAGTAAAGACAATCCTCACAACACCTTTTCAGTTTGACTATGACGGAATCCCTTCTTTCCTTGTGCTAGCTAAGTTATCCACCTATAATTCTCTTCACCTACGGGATAACCTTCACTAGAGACATTAAGTGTCTTCCTGGTAAAATCTATTGCAACTATTCAAACTTTTAAGTAGATAGACACCCAAAACCATAGGTGATGGTTATTTCGAATATAACTTGCAGTGTAACTAGGCTTATTGTCCATATGAAATGGTGTTATGGATATGGGCACAGAGCTAGGAGCTTGTAAAAAGGATAAATGGTTGTAATAATACTCAAGCAGAATAATTCTCAAAAGGATTGCCTTTACTTTCCACCATGACGAGTTATAAATTGGTGCAAAGTTTGGGGAATCTCATAGACCTTCTGGAGATGCACCAAGTCAATGTTCCGATGTTGGTATTTATCATAAATACCTAAGCAAAATACTCAGGACTAGGTAAGTTCCACGTGGTTTCGCTTTTACATCGACCGAGCTACAAAAGCGAGGTCAAGCCTAAATCATCCTTAACATTTTTTATTTATTCTCATTTTTAGTAGTGCCCCTGCATCGTACTTTCTTGTGAAATCACACTTTGAACATCACTAAGACTTGTTGCCACCATGGAATCCCATCTATCTCATCCATCCCTCGGTAACCCTTCTGATGCTAAGAGATGCTTTATTTGTTTGCTTCCAAACTAGTAGTCACAGCAAGATTGGAG